GTTCTGCCGAGCAGCAAAATGCTGGTGCTAAACTTGACATCCAGGAGGGATTACATGGGGCCAAACTCAGCTTCCCTAGTGATTTCAAGCAAACTGGAATCCAGGTCTCCAAAGTGATAAAAGTGGCCTGCCCAGCCAAAGCAGAGAGGTAAAGCACTGGGACTTGTGCCCCAGTCAAACAAGCCCCCGATTCTCTTTGCAGAGAATGCTCCCCACACTTGAACACCGGTAGTTAGAGCCATCCCTTTCTACTTCCCCCTCCGGGAAGCATTGGGAAGTCATGTGGTAACAACGACCCAGGGAGAGCTGTATAATGAGCAGTAGGACAGGGTGTGATGGGAGAGCTATGACTCAGCACAATTAACACCAGCGTGACCGGAGGTATTAAATACTGCAGTGCTTCTCTCGAGCCCACTCTGTCCAACCCTGAAATAGGATGATGATCAGTGCAGGTCCTCTCATCAGCTCTGCTGGGGAAACGCTCCTCTCTTGGCTCCAGGGGGCTCGTCCCACCAGAAAAGGTCTGTAATGAGATGCCTTGTCGCCTCCTGCCCCATGGCAATGTGTTGCTGGGGTAACTGGACTGTTCTCTGATGCTACACTCAGACACCAGCTGAGTCTGCCTGGCTCCAGGCCCCTTCCTGTCAGGCACCTTCTGAACTCTCCTCTCACTTGGCCACTACACCACCTCCAGCTCAGGGCAATTCAGTCATGGGAGTGGGGTCCAGGCCCCTGTACTCCAAGAGGAGCCAAAGCATGGGCCAGAGTGCAACAGCGGCCCATTGAGTATTCCTGCCCTGGCTGCAGCCGCCTGAGCTCTGAAACAGGAGAGTGCCAGCCCAGGAATCTCCCCTGCAAACAAGCGAGTGCAGGGTTTTATGGATCAAACAACAAGCAAACAAAATCACGCAGCGATGGAAGAGCTCTATTAGGTCCCTCTGGGCCTGGCCAGGTCTAGCCTAACCATAAATGCCCCAAGCAACAGGGCTCCAATCCCAGCCCTGGGGGAGATGTTTTCCTGACTAAACAAGCCACAGTGCAAGGAACTTTCCCTGATATTTTCAGGAGCACAGGAATTGCCAGATGGGATCAGAGCTTAGGTCCATGCCGCCCAGGAAGCTGCTGCCTCCATGCAGGGACGCCTTGGGGGGTGGATTGCAGTCGCTGTGTTTTGCTCACTGCCCTGCCACATGGCAATCCCGTCTGAGCTGCTAGCCACTGCCCCCAAGGGCATCTGGATACTCCTGTTCCAACCATGAGGTTTAACTCAGATGTGCACTGTTCAGGGGGTCGGGGTGGGGTGGGGGGCGGCGCTTGCCTCACTGCTTGGAATATGATGCCTGCCCTTCCAAGGGTTAGTAGTGTCCATGGTCGGGGTTGCTGCTCACCCTTCTTTCTGACAGCCAGCAAGGGAGAGGAAGAGGGGGCCCAAGAAGGGGCCTGCCGAGGTTCCACAGCTTGGAAGCCTTGCTGATTTTCACGTCAGAACTGCTTGGTTCACATAAGGACAGAGATGGGTTTTACCAAGTGCCAACCCACAGCCTTGCCAGCTGCCGAGCGTTGAGCTGGGATCTCACATGTCCCCTTATGGAGGCTCCGCTGGGCCTCTGCATACCCCTAACACCACGCTCTTCGTGCTGCCCTCCCAGAGTTCGCATGGGTCTGATTGCGGGCACAAAGGAAAGCCTTTGCCCCTCCCTCTGGCTGACAGGTCCAGCAACCTGAATAGGAGCAGGAGCTGTGGAGGCCACGGCAGGGAGGTGCCCCCGGAGCTCACTCCCCATCACAGTGCTGAGCCCCTTCCAAAGGGAGAGCTGCCAGCAACAACAAGCAGTTCTGGGAAGTCTATGGGAGAGAAAAGCCTGTTTGCATTTGCAAAGCAGAAAAGGCCACTGATTAGTGACCTTGCGCTGAACACTTGGCACAGTCATGCTCAGGGCTGTGTGACTGGTGCAGGGACCGCAGGAGACAGGATATAATTAGATGCATTTGTGTACATCTTTGAGTCCTTGAGAGAAGGATCAGAGCGAGTCTGACTGCAGGGCTGAGCGGCCCAGCCAGATGGAGCTCTGCTCTCTGCAAAGCCAGGGACTAACTTGTTCCACATGCACAGAGGGAAAGTGGGATGCGGAGGATGGGGACTGGGGGCTCCCAGCAGGGGACGAGGCAGAGCCGGAGGCAGAAGGCATTCGGGGAGAATGCACGTGCGTTTACAGACAAAGCCAAGCGGATCTTAGCTAGCCTGAGCAGCCCACATGGACATGGGCTGGGCTCTCAGCAGGAAGCACACATATATACCCAGAGCCTGTAGGACATGCATTCAGCCTGCACCACGGCCCCTGGGCGTTCTGAGACAAGAAGGAGCAGAGGGTGTCCTGCCTGGCAGGACCGTGCTGCTCCCCTTCCCTGGACAGGGCTTGTCCATGCTGTTGGCCTCATGGATATGGCCTTGAGCACAGCAGTGTGCTTGGGCACAGCGCAGCCTGAAAGAGGGCAACAACTGTTGCTGCCATGACACTCAGCCACCTGGCCAGTGAAATCACTCATGAATTTGCCAGCCCCTTCCCCACAGTAAGCTCCATGCATGGTGATTTCAGGGGGCACCTAGTTCAGAGGCCCCTTTGCTCATAGGCTGCTGCAGTGGACTACAGGCATTTGTGTCACTTCCTTACACCACAGCGACACAAGGACAGCAAGGATTTGACACCTTCCCCTCCTGCCGTGGGGCAGGAGCAGGACACTGGGAGCTGCTCCCGGCTACGTCTGGGATCTCCATAGTTCCCAGGTGTCCCTCCAGCCCCTGCCTACCTCACACACAGCCAATGCAAGCCCTCATCCACCCAGAACACCCCTGGGAGAGCTGGCCCTGCCTCGCAGCAGTGCTGGCCAGGATGGGGACTGGAGAGAAGTGGCCACGCCAGGATCTGTGACTGATGTGAGGCAAGGCAAGGGCCAGGCCCCCTGCCTGGCCAGGTGAGCTCAATCTGTATGTGCCCAGTGCTAGGCAGCCCACCTGGAGCCTGGAAGGGCAGCTCACCACCCTGGCACTAACAAGCCGCCAGCCCAGAGCCAACTGAGGGAGGCAGAAGGTTGCACATGGAAAAGTCGAGGGTCGCATGGCACCACCCTGCCATTTCCTATAGTAACAGCACATCAAGGCTTTGGGACCCCGGAAGGCAGAGCTGTTCTCCTGACTCACCTAGGCTGCCAAAGCAGGCTCCATCTCAGCCACACAAAGGGCTGAGTCTCCTGCCAGGACACCCTGAGAACAGTCAGCTTAGAAAGGCAGTTAGCGCATGGGGTAGACGACTAACCTGGGATACAGGAGACCCGGGTTCCGTTCCCTACTCTGCAACTGGCTCCCTGGTCTCAGCAAGTCACTCGGGCTCTCCAGCCATCAACTGCCATCTGTAGAGCAGGATAGGAGCCCTGCCCTGCCCCAGTGAGGCTGGGGAGTGATACGTGAGCTGGAGTGGCCCCCAGACGCTACGGCGATGAGGGCCACGAAGTATTTTACACAGCTGGTTCTAGAAGTGTACACGTGTGTGTGCAGCCCTGCCTGAGGGCTAAACTGCCACCAGTTAAGAAGAAAGGCAACACCCCAGACAGCAGCACAGTGGAGGTGATGCACCAGCAGGCTGGGCAGGTGTCTGCTCGCTGCTGCCATGGGACACAGGCCAATCTGAAAAGGAGCGGGGTGTACGGAGCAGTGGGGGCGCTGCGGCAGGAGGACAGCAGGGCTAGCTCTGTGCTCAAGGGAGCACGCCTGCCCCCTACATGGCTAGGCAGGCACAGTGGTGAGCTGGAGCCGGTTCGCACTGGTTTGCAAGAACCGGTTGTTAAATTTAGAAGCTGGTGTAGAACCGGTTCCTAAAGGGGCGGACGGGTGAGCAAACTCCGGTCCGCGGGCCACATCCGGCTCGCCTGAGCTCCCAGCTGGGGAAGCTCCCCCAGCCCCTCTCCCGCTCTCCCACCTCCCCCTCGCAGAGCCCCAGCATGATGTGCCACCAGCACTCTGGGCAGCTCTGCAGCTCCTGCCACTTTGAGCGGCATGGTAAGGGGGTGGGGCTGCGAGCTCCAGCGGACGCGCGCATCCTTATACAGCAGCATGGTAAGGGGGCCAGGCCAGGAGGAGGGGTTGGATAAGGAGCAGTTGGAGGGGGTAGAGGCTCTGGGGGTGGTGGTCAGGGGACGGGGAACGGGGGTTGGGTAGGCGTGGGAGTTCTGGGGGTCTGTTGGGGTGGTGGTGGATGGGGTCAGGGCAGTCAGAGGACAGGGAGCGGGAGGGGTCCTGGGGGGCAGTTAGGGTGGGGGGGGTCTCGTCTCGGGAGGGCGTGGTCAGGGGACAAGGAGCAGGGGAGGATTGATGGGTTGCAGGTTCTGAGGGGGGCAGTCGGGGGCAGGACATGGGTTGGAGTCCAATGGGGGGGGGAGGGGGAAGGAGAGAGACAGGCACGTGCGGCTTGTACTCACTGCGCAGTTCCCTACCGGGTCTCCTTCCGTCTCCTAGGCCTGCCCGCCCAGTGATGAGCTCCCAAAATCCTAAGAACCGGTTCCCTATCGGGTCCTCGACGGTACTTTGGTGGCGGGGTGTGTGTGTGTCTTCACTTGCTCCGGGTTTTCGGCGCCATTTCAGCGGCAGGTACTTCACCCGGAGCGAGTGAAGACACCGCCCCCCAGCCGCTAAAGTGCCGCTGAGGAACCGGTAGGGAACTGGTTCTTAGGATTTTGGAAGCTCATCACTGGGCAGCCAGGCCTAGGAGACTAAAGAAGTCTCAGCAGAGCCGAGGCAGGGCAGAGCAGCAGTTGGGCCAGTACAGAGGGAAGTGAAGTGAACGTGTTGTCCAGCCCACCTTGTGGGGCAGATATGTTGGCCCTAGCGACCAGCACACACCCGGCAGGGACTCCCATCCCCAGGTTCTGAAGGGCTGAGTCCATCTCCAGCTACACTACAGCACAGCCTCATGGCGACACTGCCTCTTGCAGGAGGAGTCACTCACCCTTGGAAGTCAGTGTCCATGAGGAGTCGGACCAGAATCCCCGTCACAGCCACAAGGATTGGATAATGATCCACGCTCTCTAGCCCTGGGGGACAGAGCAAAGCCAGAGCAATGACCATGGCTGGGAAGGCCAGGCCGTACCCCACCCCAGCACCTGCCCGGCTCTGTACCCACAGCCTGACAGCCATCCTTCTGTTTGCAGCAGCTCACCTCAGCTTCACCCATGGCTGCGCTGGGGGAGCCTTGGGCCAGAGGCGCTGCCTCCTCCTCCCCCAAACCACATAAGCACCTTTCACATGACCCTGGTCGCAGGCATCTCCCCATGGCCAGCAGTGATTTCTCCAAAGCCTCAGGAAAGAGGGGCTCCCCCCGACCCTGGGGCTGGTGCCCTGCCCTGGTGTGATATGGGGGGGGGGGGCGCTGACTGGAGCCTTCCCACGGGGAGTGTAGATGATCTGTGTCTCAAGGAAACAGGGGATATTGATGAGACATCATTCCCTGAGGAGAGAGAGGTTGACTCAGCAGTACCACATGGCCCAGGGGCTTCGCCTCCAGTTACTTCCCAGCAGCATGCTGGTTAATCTGCTGGCTATGCTTCAGCCGTCCCCTGGCAATGCAAGTGGTGAGATAGTCTGCGATGCAGGGACAGCAGGTGGCTGCTAGCACAGCACTGTCCTTCCCCAAATCCAGCCGCGCAGCCCAAGGACAGACTCAGCAACGCGTAACTAGACAAGGACTTCTGCCCGTGCCAGGGAAGGGCATGCAGGGAGATCAGCCTCCATTCTACAGGCACCTCCCATCCCACAGGCACCTCCCATCCCAGCTCCCTTTCCAGTTCCCTAGAGTGCCCACATGGCAGCAGTTTAACAGCTGCTCAGAGTTTGGTGCCTGGAGACCCCAGAGGCCAGGACCCAAAGGGGAAGTGAGGGAGACAGAGACACCTGCGGTAGGACAGAGGGTCTCATGGAAACAGCCAAGGAATCGGGAGTGAGCACAATGCTCAGAAGTCCTGTTTACAGCTCCTAGAGCCTGTCCTGCAAGTACCCATGCTTGGGTTGGCAGGTCACCCTTCTGTCTGACTCAGAAGAAGAATGCCCCCTGCTATATCCCTAGCCCGCGGCACCTGAGGTTCCCGGCACATAGCCCAGCACCCAATGACAGCCCCAGAAGATCACAGACCGGGCCTATCTCTGCAAAGCACTCACACAGCCAAATCACTCCATTGGCAAGGGGGAGCACCTGAATCCCCTGGGCCCCCCGCACAGCCACCAGTGAGTTCCTGACAAGCAAGGAGGCAGCCAGGCCCAACAAGGGTGACTCACCTGGCAGCCGGAGGTTGACCACTCTGTCGAACAGGTTCCGCTCGGCTGTCACCCGATTCAGCACCTGGTTCAACAGCTGTGCGGGGACAAGAGAGATGTCAGGAGAGATTGTTCCTATCTCCTGAACAGGGAGCCCGCCTGAACAGGACGGAGCAGCCCCTTTCCAGCTGTCAGTCCCAGCCCCAAGTCAACATGTCTCCCTCAGAGAGCACACCTGCCACGTGCAGGGCCTTGGCAGGAGATAGCCCCTCTTCCACTAGCTACTCCTGAACCTCCCGCCAGCCAGACAAGAGGCATCTGGCTGAACGCATCCCATGGATTGCTAAGGATCCACACCGCAGAGCACAACAACAGAGCTGACTGCAGCCCTCCCATCCCTACCAGGGCGATGCCTGGGGGAACTGCAGCTCCCAGCATGCAGCATTCCATCAGGAGCGGACAGTGCAGCTGCACTGCATGGGACAGCAGCAGCAGTGCAACACTCCCTCTTTGGGTGCACACTGACTCCCAGCAGGCCACATGCACCTCAGCAGGGCGCGCAGTGCAGGTAGCCCCTGGTGGGCAATGGGCCACAGTCTGCAGCGGTGAGAGGCTGAACACATGGGCAGTCACACCGGCTGCATTCCAGGCTGCAGTCAGTCCGAAGGAAGCTCTCACCAAGGAGAAGCTACAGTCCCAGGCCACATCGTGGCCAATGGCAGAACTAGTCAGAGTGGGCCAACCAAGTGCCAGCTGTGAGCAGGGCTGGGTGTAGGCGCTTGCTGGCTAACAGCTGCCAATGGCCTGAGGAGCTCTCTGCTGAGCCCAGGATCTAACAGGACTAGCACTGCTGGTCCCCAAGCACAGCAAGGAACAGCTCAGGCCCAGGAGGCTGCTGAGCAATCACATACAACCAAGCTCCACCCAGACGAGCAGCAGACTTCTGCCTTGCCTGGCAGTGAAACTGAATGTTGTTAGGCTCCAGGGTGAACCCCCACTGGGACAGCTGAGGCTCTGGGCGTGCCCTTTCCAGCACACAGCCCACCTCAGCTCACTCAGCACGCCTGCTCTGCTGCCATCATGGCTACTCTTCTTTCAGCTGAAAGCAAATCCCTGGTGCAGCCAAGTAGGGCCGGCTCCAGCGGGACCCCCATGGCACAGGGCAGGTCTGGTGCCAGCACCACCTGGGCACCAGTGCTCCCTGTCTGCAGCAGGGTGAGCCACGGGAGCAGACAGGCCCACTCTCACTCTCCCCCCCCCCATCCCTCACCCTGCCCTACCTGCATCTGTATAACCCCCTTCACTGTCTGTGTCCCCTCTCAAGGCAGCGAGGCCCCACCCTGGCTACATACCCTCTGACCCTGCCAGCATACCCTCTTGTGGTCTATCCTGGGACACAGGCATGGCACACAACAGCATGCCTGGGGAATGCTGCTGGTGGTGCTCCCCTCTCCTGTACTGCACCCCTCCTGCAGCCCCCCGATTACAACCCCGAGCATACAGGAAGCGAGGGGCATGCCACTGCGCTCCAGCAGGTGGCTGGGCTCGGAGCTGTGCTGCCAGCTCAGCTGGCCAATGTGGGCCCCAGGGGGCTTGTACCTAGTCACTCCTGGCACAGCATCCTCTGCATGGAACCCTGGCCAGATGACATGGCCTTGCCCAAAGCAATCTCTCCGAGAGTGGAGACACAGAAGAGAGCCTTAGGACCTAGTGCAGCCTTGGGCCTAGCAGGCCAGGGAACATCACCTCGCAATTCCAGCCAATGACTGGTGACTGGCCAGAGCAGAGCTCTGGGAAAGACGTTCAGTCTTGATTTACAGATTCCCAGGACGGAGAATCCCCCCAGCCCAGGCAATCTGCTCTGAGGGACTAGGGCCTCACTCAGACAGCTGGGATCATGCTTCGTTTGATCTTTGCCAAATTCAGCTCCCTGTCCTGGCTCGTGCTCTGCCTTTGGCTGCTGGACGTCAGAGCCCTCTGCTCACAGCCACATTCTCCCTGCAGAGGAACTTGGCCTGGGGTCAAGTCACCTTTTACTCCTCATTTCAATAAGCTGCTAGTGCAGCTGCTCTGCACACCAAAGGGGACTTGTAAAACCAAGCATTATGTCAGTTCAAGGCTACCTGCGGATGCGGACTGCAGAAGGGAAGTTGCTAAACTGACTTTAGTTATACTAGTTTTAGCCACAGGGCTGTGGCTGGCGATGGAGGTGCCAGGGTTGGAATAGCAGTGGGTCATGATTAAGGAGCAAGGGCAGAGCTGGGGAGGAGGAAATCCCAGAACAGCAACAGCAGGGGGCTGCAGGTCAGTCACCGGGGGCACTGGCAGAGCTGAGAAGGGCTGGAAGCTAGGGACTGGAACAGCAGAGGGCTGTCGATTAGGATTGAAGGGCATTGGCACAGCAAGAGTGTGCGCCCAGGTCTGGAATACCCAACCAACTTGATTTCAGGTTCAAAGTAAGGCCAGCTATCCCCTCCCCTGCTTCCCTTGGGTTCACAGCAAGCAGATGAATGCATCTCCTCTCTCTCAGGGCTTTGTACAACTGCCATCGCCGCATGATTTGAGCGGCTACCATGTGAAAGCCACTGGCACAGGGAGGTCCTCAGTGTGCAGTCCAGAGCGTTCATCTCGTCTCCCTCATGGGGCTGCAGTGAGTTCTGCCTGGGACGGGTTTCTGTGGGGTAGGGGGCTGATGAGGTGCCTGCTGGAAAAGCTTAATCACACAGGAGGGCTTGGCAGCGCCTAGAGTCAGCCAGATTTCTCCCACAATAGCTGCCCGCAGGTGCATCAGCCTGAGAAACTGATGCTGGATCCCGGGGTTGGTAGTTTTAACAGGGACACCCGGGAAGGGGGCTATTTATTCATGCCATCCTGCCCCCAGCAGGGGGTGCTCTCGCCTGCTCCATCGGCTCCCAGCATGGGGATGTACCTGGGCAAGTCTCCTGAGCAGCAGCTCCGAGGAGGGGCGGCTCCAGTCGAGGAAAATCTCGGGGGCCAGTGTGACGGTCATTTCCAGCACCCTGAGCAGGCTCACGGACAAGTCGAAGCACGTCGCGCACACCTTCAGCTGACGGCTGTCCACAAAGTTCCTCTCCAGGCGCTCTGCTGCCTGCTGGATCTGCCCGGGCACAGCTCAGTACAGGGCCTTGAAAGGAACAGAGGCCTCCACCCGCTCATGCACCCATCAGGGCTGTGCTGCTGGACTCCGTAGGCAGGCTGCCCTGGCCTGGCTCCCAGAACCCACCCCTGCATAGCCTGCTGGGGTCCCCGCTAGGTGCCGTCCAGCCAAGCCCCGGCACTCACCTCCTGGATCATGCCAATGAATTCCGAGAAGGCCCAGTTGAGCTGGTTGAGGACGCTGTTGAGGAAGCTGGGTGCCATGTCGCAGTCACTGCACAGCAGATCGGCCATGTGCCGCTGCAGAAGGGTGGAGGGGCACGGCTCTAGGACCAAAGGGCAGAAGCATCAAGGGCAGACCCAGCACTGGGGCAGGGGGCAGCCTGGAATGCCCAGCTCAGGGAGGCGGGCAGCTGGGGTAAGCAGAGGCCTGGTGCCATGCAGCACTTTAAGGCCAGGCAGGAGACTGAGCATGAAGCCCCTCGTGCCTGGCTGCTGGACAGTGAGTAGAGATGGCAGGTGCCCTGCAAGGCTAGGTGCACAGACTATTCTGAGCAGAGCTTGCCCGTGGGCTGCCAGCACTGCCCTGCATAAACTGGGCCACAGCTGTGCACCGTCGCGGCTCTTGCTCCCTTCCTTCCTCCCAGGGGAACAGCAGCCCTGCAGCCAAGTGCTAACCAAGCCTCTCGTGCTCGGCTCCAGAAAGTCCCAGACCAGCTCAGCAGTAACTCTCCTGATGCCAGCATCTCAGTCGCTGCCCCGCGCTCAGACACCCACCCCCTCACGTGGGCCCTGGTCTGCCCGGCTGCACTCAGAAGGCCAGTGAGGAAGGTGTTAATAATAATAATTAATGGAGATATCCTATCTCCTAGAACTGGAAAGGACCTTGAAAGGTCATCGAGTCCAGCCCCCTGCCTTCACTAGCAGGACCAAGTACTAATTTTGCCCCAGATCCCTAAGTGGCCCCCTCAAGGATTGAACTCACAACCCTGTGTTTAGCAGGCCAATGCTCAAACCACTGAGCTATCCCTTACCCCAAGTGTTCCCTCCCTAAGATGGGGCAGAGCCCTCCCCCAGGGCTGCACTCCCGCGGCCCAGGCAGGCTGCTGCAGAGAACCTAAGGCCGTTTCTTGGCACTCCCACCATTGCTCCCCGGCTCAGCCCTCTCGGCGTTGGCAGCCCCCGGGACAAACACACTGGGGCCCAATGTGGCTCAGCCAGCGTCCCTCCCTGGCACAGTTGGGGCTCGGGCCTAGGTACTGCCCAACAGGGAAGGGGAAGGGAGAGGAACGGACACTGCACCACAGCCCCTAATCACTGCCACAGCCGCAGGGCCCAGCACTGAGCCATGCCTGCTACAGCAGGAGAGCTGTCATGTTCCTGCGTGTGGGGCAGAGCCCCGGCAGGGAAAGCAGATAACAGCAGCTCCCTGCAGCTGCAGCGCAGTGCCCCCGCATGTCCTGCTGAGTGGAGCCACCCTGCTCTCAGCAGCCAGAGCCCCGCTCCCAGGAGGGACTGACTGGCGCCAACAGTGACCCTGGGACTGGCTCAGACAAGGAGCAGCAGGGCCTGAAGCTTCCTGGCCCTTGCCCTCCCGCTTGCAGCAGAGAGCCCGCATGCTGCAGACCAGGGCACTCTTCCCTGCCCTCCTGAGGGATGGAAGGGTGCCTGGCCTGGCAGCGCGCTGCTCCTCTGAACACTCCCTCCTGCCTCTAGCAAGGGCCAAGATGCCCAGGTCTAAGGGAGGTGGGCCTGCTTTCCAGGGCCACCAGGCCGGAAGGGAGCAAGGGCTGTGCCAGCATGGACTGCCTGCATGGACTCCCAATGGCTCAAGCTGCTTGGGGGGCGCCTCTGGCAGTTGGACCTGGTGCTCTGGGGTGGGGGAGCAGCACTTCCATCAAGCCGCCCCTGAGACACAGCCCATGCAAATGGGAACTGCATTGGAATCAACCCCTTGTACCCCTGCCCCACGCAGGCAGGGGGCAGGACCCAAGGGCACCTCTGTGGAACGTGCTCCCTTGCAATTAGAGCAGCATTCATTATTGGTTCAGGGGCTGCACAGACCAGCAGTGCCAGGAGCCAGGCCCATTCCTCTGCCTGCTCAGACCTTTCCCAATCAGATGCAGGGGCACCCAGGAGCAGAGCCACACCACCGCTGCCCCTGGGGGTGCAGCAAGCGTGCCACACAGCTGCCAGCACGGGACATGGGGATGTTGCCATGGCGCTCTCTAGCCCGCAGGCCAAGGCAGAGGCTGGTGCAGCTCATACCCAGCATCTGCCAGCTCTGTCCACCCTCCAGTCACAGCAACTCCCCCATCTCTCAGGCAGGAGGCAGCCGCCCTGCTCCATGAGTCACAAAGCCACCCCTATGGTGATGGCAGCCCTAGGTGAGTGGCTCCCCTCTGCACAGCTGCAGCAGGGGCTCAGGGCACTGGCATGAGCTGCCCCCTCTCCCTGGCACAGACCTGAGATGAAGGCCAAGGAGCTCCTCCCCCGCCAGGGCTCCCACCAGGACTGGAGTGGGTGGGGGGAGGGCCAGAGGCACACCTGGAGGGGAAGCACCACCAGGGGACTAAGAGCTACTGCACCACCACACAAGACAGGGCCGAGCAAACAGCTAACTTACGCTGGAGGCTAGCAACAGACAGATCTCCTGAGCCCCCAAGAGAGAGAGAGAGAGAGACAGACAAGAGAGTGGCATTACAGAGGGGGCAGTGCCGCCTGGGTGCAGTACCTACGGCTGCAGGGCCCTACACCCACACCCAGAGCGGCGCGCCAGCTGCTGACCTGGCATCACCAGAGCTCTCCACCGGATGAGAGCGAGGCCCAGCATCTCGTGCACGCACGCACACACACCCACCCCCACCGGAGGCCCAGCAGCTTGTATGCGCACACACTCCCCCCCCGCCCCCCCCCTCCCAGAGCCCAGCTGCACATGCGCCCCAAGACCCAGCGGCTTGTGTGCGCGTGTACACACACACACACGCACGCCCCCAAGGCCCAGTGGCCCTCACACAGCTCCACGTAGGGAGCAGAGCTCCAGGGGCTGAGCAGCAAAGGGAACAGACAAAGGGAGGACAAAGGAAGATGCCACAGTCACTCCTCTATTAACCAGCACCCTGCGTGGGCATGCCAGGCGCCTGGGTGGCCGTGTGACATTTGGATTTGTTTGTTGTTCTGTGGCCTCCACTGCCACTAGTGCAGCTGGTTTGCCCAGGGCTTGGGTGGAGACGGGGCGCTTGGGAACAGCATGGCCTGCTTACAGAACTTGCTGGCTCCCCAGTGAACAGACCAAGACTGGCCCTTCCAACTCCCGGTTGGCTGGAGACAGGGCGACACGGCTCCAGTCACTGCTGCAGCAAAGCCGGCTGCGGCCAGCTGCCCTGGCCCCCGCTGCTGTCCACAAGCAAGGCCCCAGGCCACAACAGCACAAGAGTGCGATGGAACAAGGGCACCAGGGTATGGAGAAGGGAACAGGCCCCACTCAGGCTTCTGCCTTCGTATGCTCCCTGGTGTCCCAAGAAGCCTCTGCTCACGCCTCCTCCATCACCTGCTGAAGAACCCCTGGCTCAGCATTTGCACACTGCTGGGGCTGTTCCCAGCACCCCCGGCTGGGCCTGCTGGACACATCCCTGGTTCCCCACCAGTAGGGCACCGCTAGATCCCGGCACCAGACCCCACCCCCCCATACCGCCCCCAATGCTGTGAGCACCTTGGCACCAGACCCCACTCTCCCCTCAGGCTGTGAGTGCCCCAGCATGAGACCCTGCCCCCCCACACACTGCTCCCAATGCCGCAAGCGTCTTGCACCAGACCCCACTCTCCCCCTCCACAGCCGCAATTGCCCTGGCGCCAGATCCCAGCCTCCCCCCCAATGTTGTGAGCGCTCCAGCACCAGACACCCCCACCCCCGCAATGTTGTGAGCGCCCCGGCGCAAGACCCTGCCCCAACCCCACTCACTCTGCAGGCTGGGGAGATTGGCATCCTCGGGCTTGGTTTTCAGCAGGTGCGGGAGCCGCGTGTACCTGTATCCAAACCCACAGCCCTGCAATGGGGGAGACAAGGGAAAGGTTAGGGCAGGGCTCCCCAGGCCACCACGGCAGAGCGCTGAGCTGTGCCAGGCAGGCTGAAGGGGACACCGCAGGTGCTGCCCAGCCTGCCAGGGAGAGGGCTGAGACCTCTAGCCTGCAGCTGAGTGATGGCCCCAGAGGCATGGGACTAGGCTGCTGGCAGCGACAGGTAGTGGGACCTTACCCGCCACAGCCGAACAAGGATCCAGTTGGTCTGCGCCCATGGCCGCTGCTCGTAGGGAGCCAGCAGGTTCCTCATCATGGATATTCGCCTACCAGATGGAAGGGACAGGTTGGCAGCCAGGAATATAGGGAGGGCAGGGTGGCACATTCGGGGCTCCTAGGGGGAAGGGAGAATGGCAGGGCACCAATGTCTGTAGGGCCAGCACACCCGGGGGACGGGTTAAAATTAAGCTATATCTTCCCATCCCCAGCTAGTCTGCAGCTGATCTACCCCAGCAGCCATAATCACTGCTACTGCCCTTAGCCCAGCCTGCTCCAGCCCAGGGACCTCTCAGCCCCATTGTCCTGACACCCACTCTTACAGTCCCAGCTCCTTTGCCCCAGCTCCCCATGGCAGTTCAGGGTGCGGGTCGCGACTTACTGTTCCTCTGGGATCCTCTCCACGGCCCGCAGCGAGTGTGGGTAGCAGACGTAGCTGGCCAGCGCCTGCATCAGAGAGTCCCGGATGTCTGGGGGCAGATGAGAAGGGCTAGGCTGATGCAGCAGGGCCAGGCCCATGGCTGAGCAGTGCAGGGAGCCAGGGAAGGGACTGGCCTCCGGCAGAAGGGACAAGTGGCATTTTAAATGGTACAATCCGGGGGCTAGCTAGGGCCCTAGTAACACAGGCAACGGGTCCCCCCCCCTGCCAGGCCAAGGGCCAAGCTTGGAGCCACCTCAGGCCTTCTCCAGTCACAGGGGAACTGCCTAGTCCCTGCTCATCTCTGCCCATCACCTGCACAACGGGGAGGTCATGGATTCCCCTACCCCATGCAGCTGGGAAATGCAAGACCTCTCTGAGAAATGGCCAGTCTGCGCCCAGCCAAGACTCCAGGGATGGTGCTGAGAACCTCCAGGCAGCTGCCCAGGGTTTGCCATCGGCAGAGGAGCCCACCCAGGAGAGCCCACCCCATGCCAGTAGCTAGGACTCTCTGCCCCCCTTCCCTTCCCCTACTAATGCAATAACCTCAGCAATTGCTAGGAAAGCCACCCCAGGGTGCCCAGCAGCCCTGACACAACCAGCCTGCCCCCTTTGCTGCACTCCAGCAGTCCCTTGCTGCTCCAGGGCAGGGTCTGGCAGCAAGCTGGGGGCTGGTCATTGCCTGGCCCTCACCCCCAACAGGCAGAGCAGTCACCAGTCACCCCAAGAGAGCAGCCTCACCAGTGCCGACGATCCTGGAGTCAGCAAAGTGCTTGGCCAGGATGGCAGCAAGACGCGTCAGAGTCTCTTCATAGCCTGCAAGGAAAGGGATTGAGCAGGTGGAGAGGGGCACAGTCCCATGCCCTCAGGCAGCCACGGGAACCACCCCTGCTGCGGAGCTGGGCGGCAGAGTCGGTTCCTATGTAATATAACTAAGTCTTACCCATGTGGGGCAGCGATAACCATGGGAACAGTAACTGACAGGGCATCTCTGCCTGAGTCTGCAGAGAGCCTGACATCATCGCTCTGAGGGGGCCGTTTTGAGTCAGCCTCCCCGGATGTAGCGGCTGCCAGGTGCCTGGAGAATTCAGCAAAAGGCCAGCCATGCAAATAACCAACAGTTCCAAGTCTTAGCTGCGCATATGGGGATGAGGGGTGCTGGACATAGGGAAGCCCCAGCACAGCAGGGAAGGACAGGAGGCAGCTCCGGGATGCTCAGGATAGCACTCCTGAGCCCAACTGCCCCTTCGAGCTGGGAACACAAAGGGTATGGCTCCTGCAGCTGGCTCAGCAATGCAGCCCTGAGTGGCCCATGTGCTCAAGGGATACAGTTAGGAGCAATGTAACATTGTGCTACACGCTGCTAGAAAACACTGCCAGGGTGGGCCCCCACTGGGGATGCTGGACACTGCCATTCTCTGCCTCAGGGTTTGAACCCTTCAGGAGCAGGGCTCTGGCTCCATGGCACACCAGGCTGGGCTGGATAAGAGGAGCTGGCAGGTCTGGGAGTCCCTTCAATCAGCTGTACACACAGGGCCATTTTGGAGTAGCACTTCGGCAGCAGTGGGCCAGCCAGGCCAGGCACTGCACTCGCTGACAGAGCCCAGGCCAGCGTCGCCCTCAGACCTTCTCACTCCCCAGTAGGCACAGCCCTCATCCTAGGGGGATGCCCACATCGGCCCCATGCTGCCTCTCGCTGGGAGAGAAGCAGTGTATCACCCACCTGCCTGCCCACCCTCCTTCCCTCCTCAAAGAGCAAGCAGATTTTCACTCAAACCCGCCAGAACAACACACTAAACGGCCTCCTCCCTGACATAGGAGCACCTGGCACAGAACCAGGGGGTGCTGGAGCAGGCTTGGGCAGCCTGGTTCTCAGACCCAAAGGACTCAGCAGGGAGGCTTGCATTGCCATTGGCTACGCAAAGAGCCAGGAGTAGCCCCCCCCCCACCCCAGTCACCATTGTGGCAAGCTAGACACCCACAGGGCAAACTCCACAACACACTGCAGGAGCAGGGGCAGCATACAATAAAGGCAACACAATGGCCAAAGACAGCCTGGTCTCCTGGCTGCCTGCAGGTCCCCAAATGCCGCAGGCAGAGGGCGAGCAGGTGACCAAGCCCAGGAAATCCCAATGGGCCCCTCTGGAACTCCAGTCTAACTCAACAAGCTGCACCCCCCCCCCAGGAAATGGCCAGCACTCGGTGCAGAGATGAGCACATGGCAGGGGAAGCAACCCCACCGTCTCCTGGGAGCTCGCAGCCAGGGCGCAGCTTTGTCCTGCCCAGCACCATGCCCAGCCCAGCATAAGTCAGCAGTGATGGCAGCGCGAGCCCCCTCCTCACCGGGTAGCTCCTCCATGCTATGGACAGGGCTGAAGTAGTTCTTCAGCGCGCTGTAGCTGTTCATGGCCACACTGAGGTAGAACTCCGGCATGAAGGCGAAGAGTGAGCCCGTCCTGTCCCCGTGCTCAATGGTGCGGATGCACACTCGCAGCAACCAGTATATGTCCTGCATCTTCTCCTGCCGGGGAGAACACAGCCACGAAAGACTCAGCTTCCACCCCAGGCAGGCCAGAAAAGGTTCTAGGCAACATACCAAAGTGACTGTTGCTGTGGGCATGAAGGATAAGAGGCTGAAAACTGAGTGGAGAACCCCAGCACCATGCCATGTGGATAGCCACGGGCAGCTCAACCCAAAGCAGCTTTGAACCAGAGAATGGAAGCTAAGCGTGAAAGAAGAAAGCAGAGTGCTGTCATCTTGGACTCCAACTCAGACAACACCTGGATGCATCTGTAAAACTTCTAGCAAGCTGCGTCACCCTTAAATTGGGCTGGTCAGCCATAAGCAGATTCAGCAGGCATCTAACTAGACCTTTTACGCGTACACCATGACACAGTGGATCAACAGCTGCCTAGACAATAACTATAACAATAAATGTTCATGGGAAAACATTCAAAAGAGAAAGAAAAGGACTGGGTTTGTTCAAGCAAAAAGCCCTACTGGTATAACTCAAGGACTGGGTTAGGATCATGCCTGGCAAACAAAAGAGGAATGGGACCATAAGTTAGTAACCCAAAACCGGTGTCGAGAATTAGGCCCAATGGTAAAAAATAATGAGGGAAGGTGCTATTTTGCCCATTACTTTTTTTGAGGTTCCTTAAAAGACTTTTGGGGACAAACGAAAAAGCTGCCGAACAACAAATGCTAGCTGGGAGATGGACTGCCCAAAAGTAGTGAGCCGTCACCCTCACAATTTCCAGGGCCTCCAGGAGCCACCACTGGGCCTTTACTGTCCGAATTCTGAAAAATGTTCTGACCAGACTGGGTCAGAGAAAGGGAGCCAAAACACATCGCTGTCTCCACCAGTTCCAGCTAAACCCCAATCACCCCCTGGGATGAAGATATTGGTGCTTGTCTCTTCCCCCTCCTCCCCCCTGCTTTACGTTTTCCTAGCCCTCTTTTTCCTTCGGTCTAAGGACCATATGCTCTGCAACACTGCTGTAAGCCTGTAACCAAAAACACAGCTAAAAGCAATTCCCTGGACAGACCTGTGCAGGGACAAGTTGCCAAGTGCAGAAGTGGCTGAGCAGACCACATGCTGAGCCCGTGTTTCTCCATCAACGAGGGTGCAAGTCAGAGCCAGCCCCGGAGACAGAAGCTGCATTTTCATTTTGTGTTTTTTTCCCCTTTTCATGTGCTTGTCTCGCTCTGTTTTGTAGGAAAGGGGACTGAACTTTAACAGCAGTGGCAGCTCCAGCCCATTCCAACTCACTGTTTCTCTTTTCCCCAAAGAGAATAGCTAGTACCATCTTTACTTCCACCTAAGGCTTAGTCCCGGGGGAGGGGTTACTGAGAAAGGCTCTACAGCTCAAAGGGGGGGAATGAGGGTAGGAGAAGAAATATTGTTACAATGAAAGCCCCACTTAACTTCACATTTCCAGTATTTTAACTGGGTTTCCTTCTTTTTCTAGATCTTTACTGAAATGCTGACTGGTTTGTAATGGTGCATTTGCCATGGTACTAGCTGGCTGAGGTCTCTGCTCACCCCGCCCCAAATTAACATTAAAGAGTTTTAAACAGGAACAGTGGCAGGGTCACGTTTACCCCTGGGACTCTCTGGGCCCATGTAGTCCATCAAAATCAAAACCACAGCTCAGAATTTCACAGGGGTCAGGCTGAACCACTGCCCACCTTCCCCCAGGCTCCTCTCACCACGCGCTTCTCTCACCTTGGAGTAGATGGTGACGTTGATCCAGGCTAGCCGGCGACTCAGGTGGTTGAGTTTCTCTGAGAAAACCTTCTGGCTTTTCACCAGCTCCTCGTAGATGTCCCTCCTCTGAAAGAAGCATAGCAGGTGTGAGGAGCCCCTCCCTGACCGGACAGGCACGGTGCAGAGCAGAATGGACAGGACACAAGAGGTTCCCCCTTCTATGGTTTGCAAGGGAGGACAGATGGGCCGGAGTCTAGTCTTGCCCAGCCAAGAGGCATCCATGTGAAGGCTGGGGGAGTGGAAGCCAGAAGCAGAGCAACGCCCAGGTGGGATCCATCGCTGCCCTGACCAGCAAGAACCCCAGGACCAGGAACCTTGGCCAGGTATTAGCCCCTAGGTGTCCAAGTGCTTTCAAATCACCTGCTCTAAGAGGTGGCCTTTGTAGGACTGGTCAGATGGAGTTACCCTCCACCTGCAGGAGCCCTGAGCCAGAAACCATTCTGGGCATTTCCTGTCTGGTTTCTTGGTGGCACCACCAGCCAGGTGTCCTTCCACTAAGCCCCAGTGCTGCATGTGGCGGTGCCCAGCCCCAAAAGCTGGGGGTGGGAGGCAACTATGCCATGGGCTGGGTTTGGAGGGTTATTTTATTTAATACTCTTGGGGATAGAAACTCTACACCCTGTAACAGACCAATCTGGTGCACCTGTCCCATGAGGTAGGGCCCTCAGCCTGCGAGCCCCAGAGGTAAATGGAGAGCAACGCCCGTGCTTTTGTTCCTCCTGGCCTGCTGCTGGGGCCTGCACTCTAGGGGAGCAGCAACTGGACCACACAGTGCACATGCCCCTCCTCCCTGCCAGCCTCCTGGCAGCCCCCGGCTTGAGCTATCCTCCGGCAGAGCCCTTTGCCACAGGGTTCTGCCAAGGTTACAAAGATGGAAGTTGGGGGGGGGGGTCTACCGGAGGGACTCCTTACCCTCTTTGGACATCGGCTAATCTTCTCCTCTGTGTCCTTCAGTGCCAGGGCATATTCGTTTACATCATCGGACACACCCACCATCTGAAAGGCAAGAGGGGACCAGTGATGCCAGCACAGAGCTTTTCCAGAATGGTCAAGAGCAGCCCGACCCCGGAGAGCAGCAACTCGGACAGCATCGTGGAGCTCCGGTCCCCTGGCTGGGCTGCTCTCAGCAGCCTGACCCCTGAGAGCAGCAAACCATCCATAGACTCATAGAATATCAGGGTTGGAAGGGACCTCAGGAGGTCATCTAGTCCAACCCCCTGCTCAAAGCAGGACCAATCCCCAACTAAATCATCCCAGCCAGGGCTTTGTCAAGCCTGACCTTAAAAACCTCCAAGAAAGGAGATTCTACCCCCTCCCTAGGTAACCCATTCCAGTGCTTCATCACCCTCCTAGTGAAAAAGTTTTTCCTAATATCCAACCTAAACCTCCCCCACTGCAACTTGAGACCATTACTCCTTGTTCTGTCATCAGGTACCACTGAGAACAGTCTAGATCCAACCTCTTTGGAACCCCCTTTCAGGTAGTTGAAAGCAGCTATCAAATCCCTCCTCATTCTTCTCTTCCCGTTCCGCCGGCCAGAGCGCCGGGAGCCAGCCCACGGCCCCGTTCCGCCAGCCGGAGCGCCAGGAGCCAGCCCATGGCCCCGTTCCACCGGCACCACTTTTGGGGAATACGGTCAGGGGAAGTGGCCGCTTCCCCTGAACCCCACTAGCTACACTACTGGTTGGATATTAGGAAAAACTTTTTCACTAAGAGGGTGGTGAAGCACTGGAATAGGTTACCTAGGGAGGGGGTGGAATCTCCTTCCTTAGAGGTTTTTAAGGTCAGGCTTGACAAAGCCCTGGCTGGGATGAGTTAGTGGGGAATTGGTCCTGCTCTGAGCAGGGGGTTGGACTAGATGACCCTTCCAACCCTGATATTCTATGATTCTAAGCCAGGGGGTCAGAAGGCTGGAGCTGTTGTGATTTGCTCTCACAGCAGATACAGGAGCAATTCCTCCTCATCAAACCCAGCCACTTGCTCAAACATAGCGAACGCTAAAGGACCAAAAGTAAGACCTATGCTAGCTTGTAATACTCTATGCTATGCTAGTAGTGAGCCCTGCGCTGTCCTGGATTGAACTGGGTGGACTGAGCACAGACGTCCAGATCCCAACGTGCCCTGGGCTGCTCAGGTGAACAGCCATCTGGCCCAGCATCCCTGTGCTCTAGGCCCCAGCATGCTCCTGTTACTCAGTTCCCATTCTCCAGGAAAGGGATTCAGCCCTACCGCTAATGGGGGGGAGGGGGGAGGGAGGAGAAGAGGGCTGGAGATCAGGGACTCAGCTGCAACCTCCAGTGACACTGAAGCATAGCAAATGCAATTTGGAACAGGATCTGCAGTCCCTACTGGAGACACATGGTCCCCTCCTGCCAGAGCCATCACCCCGGGATGAGTGCAACAACAAAAGAAACAGGGCTGTGCCACAAACAGACGTGCACACCAGCCAAGGTGGCCCTCCCTCTCTGGTGGCTCGATGGGCACAAGGGAGCTGGCTCACTGCAAGGACCCACGGGCGCCGGCCCGAGTGTGGGGCAGCACGACAAGGGCTGTGACCTTCTCCCCTATGGATCATGCTCACCTTACCAAGCTGCTGGTGGACGCTGAGGTTGTACATCATCACTATTCCATCCAGGATCTCCAGAAGGGAGTTCTCAGTGATTGACTGCTCCGGCTCCTCGGGGGGTCTCCCCAGTAACAGACCCTCATTTCCATGGCTGCCTTCTACTGCAACCCAGAAGAGTTTTCTCAGCAGCGTCACTGGCAGTGCGAGGCCTGCACGCCTCCCAGACAATGCATCGCCCCAGTGTGCAGTGTTCTCAGGGACCATGCCCATAGCACAGCTCCCTCCCCCTCCATGCCTTTCCCCAGCCCTCGTTCCCTCTCTACAAGTCTGGGGGCCTCACACAAAAGGGCCAAGCTGGCTCTCAGAGTGTGAGCAGTGCTCCTGTCTGACATGCTACTGCAGTCCGGCCCTGCGCACAGCCCCTATCCTCCCCAGGCCAAGGAGGGAAGTGCCTGGCAAACACTCATTGAGCAGAACGGTGTGAGCCTCCAACCCTTCCCACTGCATGCTGGGAAAGGACTGGGCACAACTGGGGCATTCCAGGCACTGCCAGGCAAATGAGCCAAACCCAACAGCTTCTGCCAAAATCAGAGTGAGACTAAGATCATCAAGAGTTGGCAGGGCCGGGAACTCAGCCCCAAGGTCTGCGTTACATGCCATTAGTCCACAGTGCTGAGTGCCTCAGATTACAGACTTGGGCCCCACCACCTGGGCTCTAACCTGCCCACATGTGAGCCCCAAGCCCCACCGCCTGGCCTGCCCCTGCACTGCAGCAGCTGGGGCTGAGTCCTCAGCCACCGGGCTCACCTCCTCGCCTTTGGGTAGGCAACCGGATGATTTTTAAAGAAAATACAGGCACTTTGATAACCTGCTTCAGGAGAGACTTCACCAGCCCAGACTGCCTGCGCCAGGACCAGCGCTGCCGTGACCAGCGCTGCCATGACCAGCGCACGGACGCACCCCGGCTCTCCTGCAGCTCCTGCAAGCAGGGCCATGCCCAAGTCATTGCTAGCCCCCAGCACCTCCAGGCTTTGAGCAACATACACTGAGCTCACCAGCTGAGCGACAACTCCTCAGTCAGACAGTGAGCAATTGCTGTCACCCTTTCTCAGCTAGGCTCAGGGCTGATCCATTCCCCGGGGACTGGCTGGGCCTTTTCCTTTGCCTGCTTCCCCCACCTCTACCTGACACCTTGGCAAGCATGCAGTGGGAACTACTCACTGTCATCCTCTGTCCGCTGCTCCACACTCAGCGTGCGTGCTTTCATCTTCTCCAGGGTGCCCAGGGACCGCCGCGGGTTCATCAGGCTGACGGCAGCTGTACTGAGGAAGCGGTTGGCACGGCCCAGGGTGGGTGAGCTGAGCCAACTGGGCCTGGCAAGGGCACCACCAATGGCCAGTGCTGCAACTGGGCGCTGAGACATAGAAGGTCAGAAATGTAAGCAGCTCCATTCGTTAGGCTGACCTCTGACTCCAAGCCCTCCATCTCCAAGGGTCGCAACTGTGCCAGCCCAAAGCTTCCCTAGTTTCCCAGGGCTAATGTGACAGACGCCAGCTTGCTCCCTCCCTCCCTGCCGCAACTGGGCTGGCTGTGTAGGACCAACAGGATGCAGCACCCTGCTCCAGCCACACAGGGAGCAGAATCGCCTTTACGGGTACTTCTCTGATGGCAGCAACATTTGAACACTGGACACCGGAAGCCGCCAGGCTCACTCAGCAGGGACTGGAGCAGTAGGGCCAAGTCCCCTCTCTTCCCCATCATGTGGCTTCTCTAGCCGCTGCTGGGGGCACATGCCCACGGGGCCCACCTGGGCTGTGGACGTTGCAGACTCCTCATCCTCATCCAGGTCGTCCATGGTCACAGCCTGCAGCTCCGCAGGATCAATCAGGATATTTGCTTTCAAAGCCAGGTCATCTGCGTGAAAGGAGCCATGGGATCAGGGTTCGCTGTGGACCCGCTCTCTTGGAGCGCAAAATGGCACACGGCCAGCCCCAGAGGGTATGGGGAGGGAGACACTGACGCTGTCCCAGTGAAGTCACAGCTTCTGGTCCCTTTGCTCTCCCCACCCCTGTCATTTCACGTGAGCCTACGCTCCTCTCCACTACTCCCTAGCTGGGCTAGCACTGTCCAAGTCTGCTACACCAGAAGCAGGGCTGGTGCTGCCATCACACATCCCTGGCACAACCCCACTATGACAATAGCAACGCTGCAGAACTGGAGACAGCCCCGGCTCTGCCCACTGCGGCACCCCCGTGAGAGGCCATGGGCAGGCTCCAGGGACCAGACATGCCTGAGCTGGAGGAATGAGCCAGAGCTGCAGAGCAAGCAGAAGGGGCACTCCTGGGAGATGGAGCAGTACCCCCAGCCGGGGCACACACCAGGGCACTGTTCTGCACCATCTAACCTGGGGAAGATACTGTCCATTACTGCAACGCTGCCTGCACAGCGAGATCCCAGCACCCCCATTCCAACTCCCCAGGTGGCACTTGTGTCCCACAGTGCACAAACAGCTGTGGGAAAGCCAGAAAGCTAAACCAAGGCAATAGTACTGCCAGCCTGGCATGCAGGTAGGCCACGCTGTGGGTCCAGGTTCCTCCGTTGCTGCCCAGGTTTCACAGCAAGGCAATGCCCACCATTGCTGAGCATGAAGTGAACTATCCCTCGACATGGTAAGCTCCCTCGTGCTGACAGGGTAAGTGTTGGGGGTGCTCAGGCATCATAGCAATGGGGCCAGAGCCCAGACATCCCCCAGCAAGCCCCTCCTCCCTCCACTGGGTCCAGTGCCCTTCCCCTCCTCCCCAATCCTGGAATCCCCTGCTCTCCCCTTTGAGTCCCTCAGGCCCCTCCATCTTCCCTTCCCCAGAGTCTCCCTCACCTCTCCTTCAGGTTCTCCCTGCACCTTGAGGGCTCCCACCCCCTTCCATCCTTCAGTCTGTTAGCCACCAGTCCCTCCAACCTGGGCATGGCCCCCTCCATGGGGCTATCGTTGTCCCCCCTCTCCCTACCCCCAAACCTCTCTATCAATCAATCAATCCTCATATTAACCCCTTACCAGGAAGGGCACCATTTAAAATAACACAGTAGGAAAGGGAAGCATGCAAAGCAGCTAGGGCAAAATGACACAGCAGACTCCACCTAGGGGTGCCTAGATTCCCAGGCCACTAGGGACCATTGTGCTCACCTAGTCTGACCCCTGGTAGAGCACAGGCCAGAGACCGGCCCCACAAGCATTCCTGCAGTGGAGCTTTTAGAGAAAAGACGGTTACTCACCGTTGTAACTGTTGTTCTTCGAGATGTGTTGCTCATATCCATTCCAATTAGGTGTGCGTGCGCCGCGTGCACGATCGTCGGAGAATTTTCTACCCTAGCAACACCGGCGGGTCGGCTGTGGAGCCCCCTAGAGTGGCGCCTTCATGGCGCTGGATATATACCCCAGCC